TAGAGTTGCTTATTCTATCTCTGTGAAAAATGCCATTGGAATTTTAATAGGGATTGTGTTGAATCTGTCGATTGTTTTAACTAGTATGGCATTTTATCAATATTAATTATTCCAATCCATAAGCATACATTATCTTTCCATTTATTCATGTCTTCTTCAATTTCGTTCATCAGTGTCTTACAGTTTTCACTATACAGGTTTTTCACTTCTTGGTTAAATTTATTCCTAGGTATTTTATTCTTTTTTTTTTTTTCAACGTTTATTTATTTTTGGGACAGAGGGAGACAGAGAATGAACGGGGGAGGGGCAGAGAGAGAGGGAGACACAGAATCAGAAACAGGCTCCAGGCTCTGAGCCATCAGCCCAGAGCCTGACGCGGGGCTCGAACTCACGGACCGCGAGATCGTGACCTGGCTGAAGTCGGACGCTTAACAGACTGCGCCACCCAGGCGCCCCTAGGTATTTTATTCTTTTTGACACAATTGTAAATGAGTTTACTTAATTTCTCTTTTTGATAGTTTATTATTAGTGTATGGAAATGCAACTGATTTTTATATACTGATTTTGTATCCTTCAACTGTACTGCATTTGTTTATTCTTATACTTTTTTGGGTGGAGTCCTTCAGGTTTTCTATATTTAATATTGTGCCATCTGCAAATAGAGTCAACTTTACTTCTTCCTTTCCAACTTGGATTCTCTATTTCTTGTCTAATAGCTCTGGTTAGCATTTTCAATTCTATGTTAAATAAAAGTGGCAAGAGTTGACATCTTTATCTTGTTCCTGATCTTAGAAGAAAAGCTTTCAATTTTTCACCACTGAGTATGACGTTAGCTGTGGGCTTGTCATATACGGCCTTTATTATGTTGAAGTATGATCTCTTTAAACCCACTCTGTTGAGAGGTTTTATCAAGATGAGAATTTTTATCATGAAAGGGTGTTGAATTTTGTCCAATGCTTTTTCTTCATGTATTGAGATGATCATATGATTTTTGTGCTTCATTTTACTAATGTTTATTAGAGCAACTGATTTGTGGATATTGGACCATCTTTCCAGCCCTGGAATAAATTCCACGTATCATAATGCGTGATGCTTTTAATGTATTGTTGAGTTCAGTTTGCTAATATTTTGTTGAGGATTCTGCATCCACATTCATCAGGGATATTTCCCTGTTTTTTTGTTTTGTTTTGGTTTTGTTTTTTTTTGTCTTTTGTTTTTCATTTTTTGTTTGTTTTTTTGTTTGTTTTGTTTTGTTTTTGTAGTGCCCTTGTCTGGTTTTGATATTAAGGTAGTGCTGGCCTTATAAATTGAGTTTGGGAGTGTTCCCTCCTCTCTATTTTTCAAGAGTTTGAGAAGTATTGCAATTAATTCTTTAAATGTTTTATAAGATTAACCAGTGAAGCCATCTGGTCCCGGACTTTGTCGGAACAGGTTGGATTATCATTTAATCTCCTTCCAAGTAGTTGGTTTGTTCAGATTTTGTATTTATTCGTAATTCAGTCTTGGTAGGTTGTGTTTCTAGGAATCTATCCATTTATTACAGGCTGCCCAGTTTGTTGGTGTATAACTACTCGTGGTAGTCTCTCACAATCCTTTGTATTTCTGTTGTACCGGATGCCATGTCATCTCTCATTTCTGATTTTATTTTAGTTATTTCATCAGTTATTTCTAGAAGTTGCTAGTTATTCTATAAAACACATTTGCCCTATAGCTTCCCTGTCTAGGAACCACTTGGGCAGCAGTCTTGGTAATTTATTCAAGAGTACAAGCCTGTTTGCCAGATCATTTCACGCGAAAGTCCCTGAACAAGAAATTTAAATGTATCATCACAATGACAGAGAACTTTTCAGAAATGCCCTCAGGTACATGCACAGCTATATGGACAGAGATGTTATGTGAGATTCGGTCAAGCATTACATGCAAATATGCTTCAACAAGTGAGGCCCACTGCATTAAATGTAAGAATTTGTTAATTAAAATAACCTGGAAATTTACTGATAGAAATAGAATAAGAACCATTTCTCAAGTAACATTCAACTTATAGTTAGCAAATCAATATGCTATAGCACAGCATGATTTAGAACAATTAAATTTACAGTACTCTGCTAAACACAAATGAAAGGTTCTCATTACTCATCCCTGTTTGCCCTAGGCCCCAGGGCAAACATCTCTGCTAATAACTGGGCACTGACTCAGAAAAAGAGAAAGGAAACAGGAGCCTTCAGGCTGTACTAAAACATAGCTGAGACTGTTCCAAGGACAAGCAATCAAGCCCCAGGTCCACCAACAGCTTCACATAAATGTTAGAGAACCATCCTGACTCCTTAGGTTACTATTTTACATCTCTTTTCTCTAGGTCTATTCTTGATATATCTGCTGCTTTCTTTTACCCACAGACTATTCCAGAGTATCTTTGGTATCCCAAGATTTGGTGACCAAAGGGGATTTAAAGATTCATAGACATCTAAGTGATTCATCTGAATATATTTAATTGAAGTAAATCAATTAAAAATGGTATCACTTTCACAAAAACAAACCTACCATCTACATAATCCATGGCATTTGTTGTGTGCTTGCTGCATTGATTTAAAAATAACAGCACTGATAACAATGAAACAGTATCAATTTGCAGATTACTGTGCAAGTTAAGTACCTGGCTTTTGGTTTCATCTATCTTGAGATAAATAACATAACTGTTCAGTTTGTCAGTTTACCCCACTGTGAAAGACATTATTTTGTTTATCTTCTATGACCCTCATAGAAAAGGCCATTTTTTGACCAAAATCTTTAACTATGGAGGAAAATAACACATTTATCAAAGGGTATTGACCCATCCATGGCATACACAGCTGTGAATGCTAAAAGAACCAGGCTGTGAGAACAGTCTGTGATATCCATATGTGACATCTGTTTCTCGTACTGATTGCCAAGGTCGATTCCCTTATTCTGGCCAACTAGGTAGGTGCTCCTTTCCTCTCATACAATTCCTGGAGCTAGAAGTTAGAACCAGGAAGACTTTCCCAAAAGAGCAGGAGTGCCTCTCTGATAAATATTTGAGAGTAGCTGCATTTTCCTTCTCTAGGAGAAGAAAATCAATACTATATAACCACTGTGTGTCACAAATACATACTGATATCCCACACTAAAACAAATTAAAATAAAAAGTATAAAGGGGTCAAAGAGCTTTCTTCCATTTTTACTAAAAAATAAATTTAGAATCACTCTAAATCACTCCATTCAACACTCTTATCCTTTCCATCGTCCAACTTATTCTTCATCTTCTCTCAAAATGGAAAAATTTGTCAAAAAAGAAAAATTAATTACAAAAGTCTCACTCCAAAGCATCCTTCTTGTTCTCATGGACTGATTTTCCAGACTGATTGACCCAGTGTCTAGGACACCAAGGCAGAGACTCAACAAACACTATTTGGTAAATTAGCTGACTCCCCATCCCTCCACAAGAAGCAGTGACGAGGCAGGACAGCGCTGGTTAAATGAGACAAGGGAAGAGTATTTGCTAAATGGAGATCCAAACAATGACACTAGCAAAAGTCCCAGCACTACACAGTAATGAAAGCTATTTCTAGATCTGAGAGAAGAGTCAACTGGCCAAGTCAAGAGTGTTAAATACAATAACAATAGCAACCCTTATTCATTGAATATTTAACTCTGTGCCATTTATATATACTATGTCACTTAGTACGTTGGCAGGTACTAATACTGCTATTATTCTCACTTTGCCAGTAAGAAAATTGTATTAGTTATCTACTAGCGCATAACAAATTATTCCCAAAACATAGCAAACTTAAAAACAGCAAATGTATTATTTCATACAGTTTTTGAGGGTCATAAATCTAGTTGGAAGCTGGCAATCACCAAATTGATGCACAAAGTGTAAAGGCTGTACTAGAGAAATCAAGATTTACACCCAGAGGTCCTTACTCTATTTGGAGCCCTAAGTCCTTAGAACATGCAGACTTAGCAGACCGCCTTCTTATTTGAAAGCCACCCCATATTGGCTCCAACCTGAGAGTTTCCGCTCCATTTGACTCCAGCATGGCTGACGTCTTATCAGCACCCGGCATACTTTAGTGCAGGACCCTCAGCCTGTTCGCTTATTCTTCCTTCCCCCCCACAGTGAGATATTAGAAGTTCTGTCCAAAACAAAGTCTTCATCCAAAAACAAAGACTTGGGATCGGGCATAGGACACAACTCAGAGGTTTTAGTAATTTGACAGGTTTAAATTGTAAAACAGAATGCGGTTTTAAGTTCTCTTGCAATTCCCCTCCTCAAAAATAAATTCACATGCTCACTTCAGCTAAACACACAGGGAAGAAATAAGTTTCCAGTGACTTTTTAAAAGATTGCTAGCCATATTTCTTTAACAGACATTCATTTCCTGGATTAGACACTAAGGAACTTACGTTATCACTCTATTTTATTTATTCTGTGCATCTGTGGATTATAGAGTAGATCATGTTAAGTATCATGCTTTGAAAGGACCCTTCAGAGAAAGAACGAAATGAATTTTCCCATCTATTCTTAATATTCCCCCTACTGAATGCAGACAGCAACAGGAAAATTCAAAGCTATTATTTTTAATGTCAAATGCCTTACTAGTCCAATAAAAGGGGGAAAGATATTAAACTTTTTATACAACAAGAACCAGATAGCACATATCTTCAAGAAACACATCTTAATCAAATTGAACATAGGAAATTAAAAAGAGGGTGGGTGACTGACGGTATCCATCCTCATTTAATTAAAAAAAAAAAAAGAGCACTGGCAATTCTTGTGAACAAGAGAGGCTGTATTCTTTGCCTGTGTTCCTTTCAGAGGAATAGTGTGGATTAATGTGGGTTCAGAAGGTTCTGAAAAACTTGAGAAATTGCTGTACTCGTTGTCCTCAGATGAAAAAGAAATATCCCTTGTTTTAGACAAGCCCGTGTTATGTTAGGAAGCAATACCAGTGAGTGGGAGATATGGACTCCAGACTCACCTCTGTAGCCTTGACCAAGGGGATTGAAATGCCTTTCCGCTGACCTTACAGAGTGGCCGTCAACTTCAGATGAGATACCTCATTTAAGGCCTGTTGAGAAACAAAAGCCCTATGTAAGTATAAGGTGGAAAAAGGAGTGGTGTGCTTGTTAAAGTTATCTATGTAAAATACTCCAAAATCGGGCTTAAAACTAATTGAGTCACCTATCATACCAGGAGAAAAATGATAATAGCAATGTATGGAGTACTCACTGTCAACAAGGCACTGTGCGTTAGTATATTTATTCCTCCCAACAAACCCGAAAACTACATTCTGTTCCGCTCCACAGATGAGCCAACAGGTTCCAAAAGTTAAGCAACTTCCCCCAAGATCATGCAGCTCTGGATCATGCAGCAGGGCCAGGATCTGAGTCTGAATGCATGGTGTTAGCTTGCAGGCCCTCTGTTCTCTGGAGCTAAGAATTACCCTGCTCATCTTCAGGACTTGGAGGACAAAAGGAGCCTCACTGTGTGAGCACACACACAGACACACACCACACCCTCACATACATGCAGAGATTTCACATTACGTTCTGCAAGTCAGAAACACTCCTCAACATGAACTGTGGTTTAAATACATTATTATAAAGCTGAGCCAGATTTGGAAATATACAGAGACACACATCCAGCTCTCACTTCACACTGGAGCATCAGCAGAGAAGAATTAAAATAAAAATGTTACTGGTTTGACATATGTCTTAGCTTATTTGGGCTGCTATAACAAAAATATCATAAACTAGGGGCTTATAAACAACAGACATTTATTTCTTTTTTTTTTTAATTTCTTTTAATTTTTTTTAAATTTATTTTTGAGACAGAGAGAGACAGAGCATGAGTAGGGAAGGGGCAGAGAGAGAGGGAGACACAGAATCGGAAGCAGGCTCCAGGCTGTGAGCTGTCAGCACAGAGCCTGACACAGGGTTCGAACTCACAGACTGTGAGATCATGACCTGAGCTGAAGTCGGACACTTAACCGACTGAGCCACCCAGGCGCCCCTTAAATTTTTTTTACTGTTTATTTATTTTTGAAAGAAAAAGAGAGAGTGCGAGTGGGGGACGGGTAGAGACAGGGGAAGACACAGACTCTGAAGCAGGCTGCAGGCTCTGAGCTGTCAGCACAGAGCCCAATGCAAGGCTCAAACTCACAAACTGGGAGATCATGACCTGAGCTCAAGTTGGACGCTTAAGACTGAGCCCCCCAGGCACCCCGAGATTTATATCTCACATGTCTGGAGGCCAGAAAGTCAAGACACCAGCAGATTCAATATCTGGTGGGAAGCCACTTCCTGGTTCATAGATTGCCATCTTCTCGCTGTGACCTCACATGGCTTAAGGGTGAAGAAGTTCTGCAAACTCTTATAAGGATGGGTCTTGCCTAGAGATCAGCTTCCGCCTGGTCCCACCGGGAGTTCCGGCCCACTCACCGCACCACAGAGTTTGGGGGCCTTCTGGGACAAGGGGTTGACCAGTCACCCTGGTTTGCCTTGGACTGCGGGGTCTCCAGGCACATGACAGTCAGCATTAAAACTACGACAGTCCTGGGCAAACCAGGATTTTAGTCGCTTGTGAGACACTCGGTATTGGCCCCAACCTGGAGAGAAGGGAGAGACATCCAGGTGAGGCAGACACATCCCTTCTCCTGAGGAGGGAACACGGTAAGCATTAGAGGCCCATTCTGAAAAGTGGGGGATGGGCTCATCAGCCTCAAGGGGGACCTCGACAGGGCACCTCAGCAGTCGCCTAGACCCCTCAACCGGCACGGTCTCTTTCGATTCCACATCCTGGCTGTTATATGTGTATATTTGTCCACTATGTTTACAGATCAAAAGCCACAGCCAAGCTCTTCATTAAAACTAAAAGATTAAATTATCATCAGCAATTCAACGCTTGATTTGTTTTCTCCTTCCCTTTTGTAGAAGACAAAAAGAAGTGACAGACTACAAAGAGTGAAAGTTAAATCGGATGTTTTGCAATATTTCCGAGTTTCTAGGTAACCTAAACTCTCTAGACAAAAATCTCAAACAGCATTTGTCAGCCCCACCAGCTAGTGGGAGATGCAGGCTGTGGGGTCGGTGCAAATGCACTCCTCCTTGGTTGCTTCATCTCTCTGAGCCGCAGTTTCTTTTTCTGAAAACGAGGCACAAATCCTAGCCTCACAGAAGAGTTCAGAGGATTCAACACAAAGTAAAATAAATGTGCCACGAGCAGTGGCTTTTACTGATCAATGCTGAACAGAATCTGAAAGCTTGATTTCTAAATCAGTGTTGAAAGTGCGATGAGAGACTCACTAATTAAAATCTAGGTGGTGGCCAAAACAGAGTTCTCCATCTGCAGAAAATGCAGAGCTTCACATTCATCCTGGAGTGCTCTTGAATGGCCACTCAAAAAGATTTATATCTTGGACTTTTATCAAGTGATTCTAAAATATTAACTACAGTTATTACTTTAGAGAAAGTCAAAGGCCATTGAAAAATTTTTAAACCTAAAGTGAACACTGACTCATGTAAGTTTATTATCAGCATGTGTTCGTATGTGTGGTGGGGGGTGTGTTTCAATGAAGCCACGGTAGCAGGTTTACTGGGGAGCAGGAACGAGGGAGCTAACGTGATTCCAGCTGCATTTCAACCAGGCTCTTTACACTGGGAGCACGGTTCAGTAACTGCACTTACACGTAAATGGGTTTATCCTTGTAATTCAAGTAATTGCTTTAGTATTTTCAGTACCAACCGTGTATGAAAGCTCTATATAAAAGCTGGAGAAAATTCCCAGGGGAAGGAAAGTATCTATAGATCGGCCTATGAAACTGTATACCATTCCCACTTTCCTTCACCTCGTAAGGGAAAATAACAGATATGCTAAATAATACCCATTTCATGGTTTGTCAGAATAAAATGAGATCATTATGTCAAAACCTTTGGTAAACTGTAGAGGCTCTTATCAATGAAGGTGTGACTATCCTAAGTATTATGAAATTCAGAGTACTATTACACACACACACACACACACACACACATACACACATGCTCGCAAGTGCACACACACACACACATGCTCGCAAGTGCACACACACACACACGAGTTATAGACAAATGTGCAAACCGTAGGAGTAGGAGGGGGATGCTGGTTCTTCTCAGCTTTTTGACAGGAAGGCAAATCTCCTCCCCTAAAATAAAGCAGTTTGAGATGAAACTGCAAAGATTTGGCAAACGTAAATACCCACTGGTTAACTAGAAGTGAATTATAAACAATACCTACTCAGGGTTATAAGCATTAATGGGGTTAAGTAGAATTTCACACTTGAGGAATTTCATATGCTCAATCTTGACCCAGCTTCAGAAAATATGTGGCTTTACTGTAAAATGCCCTAGAGACTCAAGAGGCATGCTGTTAGTTTGTGGGCAAGAAGCAGCAGAATTTAAATCAGGATGGAAAATTAAACACATGGCACTCTCCCCTGGCCTTCTGTTTCTCTCTAGGTGGGAAAGAATCTTACATGACTTCTCCTTCCCTCTAACCCTCATGTCTAACAAGTCTCCAGCCTGAGTCAACCTCAGAGTGTTTTTTTCTGACCACTCCTTCCTCTCTACCCCACACCACTGCCTCAGTGACTCAACACCTGGACATTCTGCTGCCCCCCTTCTTGCCAGACTCAGGTCCTGGAGAATTCCCCAGCCACAGTCTTTCCCAAATGAACTCATCTTTCTGTCTGCCACCAGATCAATTCTCCTAAAAGAGAAGTTCCAGAGGCCCACGAAAGGCTCCAAGAAAATCAGAAGTTCAATGGTCAAGCCAGTTTGGGAAACACCACTTATATCTCCTTCTTGGAGCATCACTTTTGCACATTAAAGGTTCTGATAAGTCCTGCAGTAAGGATACCAGCTTTACTTTATTTAACCCAGATTCTTCCAACTAAGTAATGTAACCAACAACCCCTATGAAATAAGCACCATTATGAGGTTTCTATTTTACAGATGATGGGACCAAGACCATACAAGGTTAGATAACTCACAAAGGTCACACAGTACTGAATGCCAGTGCTAAAGTTCAGACCAGACTGACTCCCAAGCTACACACTTCTGGTATCCTAGAGCACTCCAAGTTGAGAAACAATCTCTTGGACGTTTCTGCCATCCCAGGCTTCTGATCAAAGATTTCCACCAAGTCTCCCTACATACAATTTATATTCTTTAACTTAGAGAGCCTTGCTACTCAAAGTGAGGCCCCAGGACCAGCAGCTCATCAGATGCAGCATTATAATACCCCGGCCCCAAACAACACCAGCTCTACTGAGTCAGAATCCACATTTAACTCAGAATCCCACTTGCAGAGCACCGCCCTGAAAAGATTCAAGTCAATAATGTAACCTGCGCTTACTATTCTTCCACTGGTAATTTCACCTTCCACAAACCATGTTCCCTGGACTCATCAGCCAGGCGATACAATTGGGTGGTATCAGTCAGCAAACAGTATCCCTCTGACTTGGCCCCCGCCCACTCTTACTTACTCCTCAAAGTCCCCCCAGATAGTTCTGGGACTTCCCTGCAGGCGTCTCACGTGTGTCTTAAAGTCTGCCACCCACTCTTTCCCTCCTTTCTCATCCCGTCGCCATCTTTATTCTCTGCCAACCCCAAGCTCTCAAGCATGCCACCGTCAGCTGCCGGCGACGGTGCCTGTCCTGATGCGTCTGGTGCTGGGCCAAGCTTACCGATGCAGGTGTGCAGGATATGGAGGGACTGCCCTGCAGAAGCCAGCATGAGACCCTCAGCTTCTTGTGGACACAGACCGTGAACGTTTCTTCCGCACAGCCCAGCGTGGAGCACAGAGCCTTCACACTCAAGACGGAGGAAGAGGCAGGGCAGAGTGGGAAATCCAGCGATTAGGACAGAAGGATTATTCGTTTCACAAAATGATTCCTCACAAGGATACCTCAGAAACATATATTTCTAAACGATTTGATTGACAAGAGTGTTTTGCACACTACTTTGCAGAGAAAGGCCATGACTGTGGCCTGATGTGAGATACAGGCATACGCTCTTTTGGAGGCAAGACGTGTCCCTGTGGGGAGGACATAGACAAAGGGGAGGAAGGAAATCTAAGGGCCTGACTCAAAGACGCATGTGTGACCCCTGGAAGATTCATAACTTAAATGACCCAAATTAAGGAGCTAAGTAACAGATGCCTCCAGGATGAAGAAGGGGACATAGAGGGAAAAGGCTGGTAGAGGAGAAAGGAAGTGACAGAGGAGCTGATGCCAAGGAAGCTGACCAGTGATGACTTGAAACCCCAGATGAAGAGGCCGTGATGGCATCTGTCCCCTCTCCGTGAAAGCAAGGAAGGTGGCCAGGACAGAGAGTTGTCTGAAGACCTGCAAGGCACCCCACTCCTTACTTCCACAAAGAGGAAGGCAGGTAAAACCTAAGACGATGAAAGGGATGTTCGCTGCGCTCATTCCGGTCCAAAGACAGGACGCTGGACAAAGGCTGGAGTCGTCCTGGGCGGCCACTTGGCCTCACCCACCCACCTGAGCAATCACAGGGCCCAGCCAGATTTTGAATACAGTCACCCACTTTTTATCCACCTCCACCACTGCCCGTCTCGGCCAGTTACCTCTCACCCTCTGCAGTTAAAGAGCCTCCTGTCTGGTACCCTAAATCTTCTCCTGCCCGTCCCCTAATTCATTCTCCACACGGAAGCAGGTCCAGCCCTGAAGAGCAGCACGCTGGTGCCGTCACTGTTGCATGAGACTCCCCAGCGCTCCTGAGATCCTCTAGGCCTGCACAGCACTGGGGCAGAGAGCCGCCGTGATGGGGGGCATCCGACCACCCGGTCCAAACAGCCACTCCTCTCCCGCTCGCTGTCTTCATGCCATTGCCAGTCCTTGGACGAACCAAGCTTTCCCCCACCTCAGAGACTGAGTACGCCAGCCATCCTTTATCCCTGGACCGCTCTTCCTTGCACACAACCTGTCAGGCCACCCGGCCCAGCCCCTCACCCGGGTTCCCCTAAGGCCCGGATTAAATGTCACTTCCTTTGTGACATCATAAATCTCTCAGGACTCCCCAAGACCAGAGAGGAGGCCCCTGCTCTGCTGTCTTATATTCCCCCCAGCACCCCAAACTTTCCTGATAACATGTATCATAATTCCATTCAACTAATTACTTATGCACTTAAAATAATTAATTTCTGCAAATGCCAGGGTGGCAGAAACCGTATTTATCTTATTTATGACTGCATCAGCAGTGCATAGTACATATGCCTGGCATTTAGTAGGTACTTAACAAATGTCTGTGGAAAGAAGGAATGGAAGGAGGGAGGGGACAGAGGATGGGAAGAAGACAGAGCTATTTTCTAGGCATTTTAGACAATCAGGAATGTGTTGTTTTTCTCATCAAACTCCTCCAAGCAGTATTGTCAAACAACTAAAACGGTTAACTAACTTCGTTTGGCATCATCTGTCCATGGAAAATGATAAAAGCAGGCAAGACTTTACCGAAGTCAAGATCAGCAGGTATCTCCAGTTCTACAAGGAAAAATATTGTTCATCTAATTCTTGACTGCCGTCTAAGTTTTAATTAGGGAGAAAAGCGGTGCTGGGCAGTGATGGCCAAAACTGAAGTCTTAACACCAATTTATCCAAACAAAACACGACATGGATCACATCTCCATCTGTTCCCATAAATCACCAAAAATATATTCAGAGAACATGTTACAAGTGTGTGCATGTACACGCACTAGAACATTTGCCAAGAGAAAACAATATTACTATGTCTGTTTAAAACATTTTGCTTTTTTCTTTGCAATGTGAATTCAGTGTTCCAGTGGAAAATATTTTTAAGCAGAAAAGAGACACCTCATCTTTGTCTGACTTACATTTCAACTCAGCTCTGCTACACTTCCAGAGGCCTTGTCTGAACAACTTGATGGATGGCACCAGGGACGGGAGGAGGGACACAGAACAACAAATAACCCCCACGCCTTGTTTTACCCTCCTTCCTCCAGTCCCCTTAAGAACTGTAATTAGAGGTTTAACCCATGACCCATACTGATTCCCACCTATCTTCCCTCTCTGCCCTGTGGTGAGGTGTAAATGAACAGAGAAATATCAAAAAGCACCATCAGCAGTAGAGAGAGGAGGTTGGTTAAAGAGAAAGAAGAGAGAGGAGATATTCCGTTCACCAGAAACAGAAATCTCAATGAACCAGCTGTTCAAAATTTGCCCAACTGACATGTACCCTCCTTTCACTGAGGATACATCTTGCTGAATGTTCTCTTTCTGGATTTCTTGCCTAAGCTTAATACCATAAATGTATCTTAAAGTCTTTCAGGAGCATTTACTGGTTAACTAAAGACAGGTAGGGCGCCTGGGTGGCTCAGCTGATTAAGTGTCCGACTTCGGGTCAGGTCATGATCTCATGGTTCATGGGTTCCAGCCCCGCATCGGGCTCTGTGCTGACAGCTCAGAGCCTGGAGCCTGCTTCGGATTCTGTGTCTCCCTCTCTCTCTCTCTGCCCCTGTCCTGCTCACGCTCTGTCTCTCTCTCTCTCTCAAAAATAAACGTTAAAAAAAATTTTTTTTAATTAAAAAAGACAGGTAAAGCCACTTTTCTGCTATGGTTTAAAGATGCTAACTCATGGATATTCACTGCTAAAGTTCTGATGTGCTCACTGTTAGAAAATGGTATTTGGATTGTCTCCCTTTCCCTGTCTAGGGTTCTACTAGTCTCAAACTTACAATAGGATCTTGAGCAGGCTAATTATCAGTTCTTCAATTTCTTCACCTGTAAAATGGGATAATTCAGTACAAGCACACTATTTCAAATGGAACTGTGTGAATATTTTCCCAAACATACGGTTTTAATATAGTTCAAAATGCAGCCTTGTAACTACATTAACAAAAATTGGCAAGTACTGGCCCTTTAAGGACTAACTTTAAAGAGCTAAGCATAATTGTCAATAGTCATTGCATAGCGATTATTCAAATGTTAACAGGTGGTTCACACCTGAAAGCAATTTCTTATGTTAAATAAGTTAAACAGTCCCTTGGACTTCCGTGTAGGTGATGGCTTTGCTCTTCTAACAAATAATGTTCTACCAACTGGGCTACCAACATTAGCCTAATCTGAGTGCACACACCTATACGGTTTTCTTGCACTTTTCCATTCTTATCCATTCTGCCACAGTGATGTCCAGTATTCATCATCTGTAGGGTTGACTGCAGGAATGAAGAGAAGGGGTGGGGGGGTGGATACCATCTGCCGCCAGGGGTTTCACTTTGCTCCCATCCCCCGACACAATCTGAGCTCCCCACCCTTCTTCAGCAGGCACATGTATTTACTTCATTATACAGAAACTCTCTTCAGGGGAATTTTTCATCACTAAATTAATAAAACGGGGACTCCGTTGGAATCAAGAAACAGAAGCTCCTCTACCTGGTCACAGGTTAGTGCTGAAAATCTTATTCCTAAATCCACGTATTCATAAACACAGAGGAACACTCTGCTTCCCATCTTTGTAGTGCCTATGTGTGACCGGTAAAATCACCTGGCTGGCAAAGCTGGCCATCTTTCCTTCTGAGATAAATTGTGTTTTCACTTCTCCGAAAGGTCCTAACATTCTCTACAAGTTTATAAGTAGAGGAGTTTCTGAACCCAGAGTCCTATTTTATCAAATTTCCTTGCTTCCAATATTTTGACAGGTGGAATTTTCCATTATTTCCACATGTGTGTTCTAACAAGTGGTCTCTCCTAAGGGCTCCTCAATCTCTGTTGCATTTGATGTTTTGCCTCTGCTGTTTCTACATCCTCTGCTTTAGACTGATCATTACCTCCGGGCCCACAAAGTGCTAGAAAACAGCATCTGTAGAACCAAAGAGGAACATGTCCTGAGGAATGGCTCATATTTTTTAAAAGCAAGATGGGCTGACTCTGTGTTCAGAAGGGCCTCTTCCTGGTTTTGTTGCTGTTGTTGTTGTTGTTGTTTTCCATAGAACTTTGGATAAGGTTGTAACAGACGAATAACCCACAGATAGTCTGCATTCATTTTAGAATTAAATTGAGCATTTTACTAAGAAATAACATCCGTCCTTTAGATAGAATGATACTTCCAACAACAGTCATTATTCATGAGTGCTTACTATTTGCCAGGCACTGAGCCGAGTGCTTTTCTGACACATATTTAATCCTCAAATCCACCATATAAGAGTTATTATTTCCATTTTCAGGTAAAGAAATTGAGACTTAAAAAATGAAGTAACTTGCCACAGTGACAGGTGTGATAGAACTAGATCTAAGTCCATCATCGCATTTGCACCTAATGGACATACTATACTGTGTCCCAGAGGTTTGTTTGGAAAGGTTTCTGTTAATCATTAACAATGTATTCACCCTCTACTGTGTGCTACTGCATTAGTCTATCCCCAGGTCTTGCTGTCCTCTTCCTCTCTAGTCTGTTATCTGTCCATACATCAGAATAGCGTCTCCCAAGGAGTAATTCTGAAACCATTTGCATCAGAATCATCTGGATGCCTGTTCAGACTGCAGCTCCCAGACTCACCCCAGAGATACTGAATGAGAACCACCTGCACTTTTAATAAACACCCCAGTTGATTCTCCTGCACGCTAAAATTTGAGAACCACTTCTATCAGTACATCATCTGTTCATAATCTTCAAATGGTTTTCCCAAAATGATACAATGCTCGTGGCAGGCTGGGTAGTGACCTCACAAAGATGTCTGCATCCCAACCTCTGAAACCTGTGAATATGTAACTTCACAAGGCAAAAGGGACTTTACAGATGTGATTGAGTTACGGATCTTGAGATGGGAAGATTATTATCCTGAATTACCCAGTTGGGCCCAAGGTAATCACAAGGGTTATTAGAAGAGGGAAGCAGGAGGGTCAGAGTCAGAGAAGGTAACTTGACAACAGAACCAGGCATTGGAATGATGGGGGTGGAGGGTAGCACACCAGCCCAGGGATGCAGGCAGCCTCTAGAAGCTGGAAAAGGCAAGGAGACAGATTCTTCCCTCGAGCCTCCAGAAGGAATGAGGTGGTCTGCCAGCAGAGTTTAGAGTTCTTACCCCCAGGCTGTAAGAGAATATATTTAGTGCTTTAAGCCACTAAATTCATGGAGATTTGTTAGAGCAACAACAGGGGACAATACATTGTTTAAAGCCCTCCACAGGTCCTCAGTGGGCCAACTCCTTCTCACTCCATGCCTCTTCTCTCTCATCTCTCCACACTGAACTTGAAGTTCCGGTCATGCTAAACCACATCCAATTCCAAAAATGCCAAGCTCCTTAATACTGTACTTGAACATTTGCTTCCCCCAAACATGTCAGCTGGAGGAACACCAGTTTATCCTGGAAAGAAATCCAAATGTCACTCCTTAATACCTAGAGATGGAACCAATTCTCTCCTCTGTAATGGAACTTGGATATATATATATATATACACTGTTGTTCTCATCACGTTCTGCTATAAATATGTGAAGCCCACAGCTACAACCCATTCATCTTTATACCCCAGGGCCCATTCACAGTGCCTGGTCCAGAGTAAATGCCCAATAAAAGTTAGTTGAATTGAACTAAACCCTGAGTAGCTGGCTGGAAAGCTGTAGATGTATTCCCAAATGCCACCTTTAAAGAAAAGCATTTAAGATAGTCCTATTTTATAACTTCCAGCAGATCCTATATCACTGCTGTTTTCCCATGTATCCTCAGTGATAACAAATTCCCACCCATCCTTTTGAAAGGTTTGGATTTAAGAGGTAAAAAAAGGGGGCGCCTGGGTGGCGCAGTCGGTTAAGCGTCCGACTTCAGCCAGGTCACGATCTCGCGGTCCGTGAGTTCGAGCCCCGCGTCGGGCTCTGGGCTGATGGCTCGGAGACTGGAGCCTGTT